TGGCACGTCCTAAGGAAAGCTCATTGTGGGACTGGCTCGTAGTGGCTGAAATTCTGCACCAAGGCTGAATTTCGGGAAAGAGACTTCAGATACAGTACTAGGGACCACTTAGGCCTATATAAAAGCATATAAAAAGCAGCATGTCATGGGACCTTTAAGCAGCAGCCCATTGCTCATCAGTCATCACTCAATTGTTAGATGCAGTGTTTCCTGTAGTTATGCAAAGATTTGGTTTCAAAAACAGTATCAGTAAACTATTTCTTATGATTTTAAATCTGCATTGAACTTCAGATCAATCTCAAAGTAAAAGGCGGTACTAAAGTCTGATTTTGTGGTGGATGTGTTCAAATTTGATCATCTTAATTCAAGTGATGAAGGATTTTGAAAGTCTGACAGTGTTGAGCACTACTGTAAGGTTAACCCTGCATGGTGTAAATGTTTGAGAATGATTAACAGTTGCAAATAAACATTGATTAGAAATTTATAAAAGTAATCAGTTACATTACTTTAATAAAGTAATTGAAAAAGTTACACTACTATTACATTTTAAATAGGGTAACTTGTAATCTGTAACCTATTGCATTTCCAAAGTAACCTTCCCAACACTGGATATGAGTCACAAAACATCACGTCGGCATCTGGTGGTTTAAATGGGCAACTACATTAAAATACAGACACAAGCGGGCTTTTTATGAGGGATTAATGACGTTAAATATTACTCCGGTGTGGAACCTCTTTTTTACCCTCCACATCGATAAACTTAGGCAATGCTTGAGACTTATCACAACAGACGTGAGAATGTACATGTAAGGTAAGATTTTGCATTCAAGGCAGCAGTCATCAATATATGGAATTACTCCTGTCCTGAAGCAATACGGTTTGAACTTTGAAGTGATGACAAACCACAGACTCCATTACCAAAGCAAACTGGAATCTGGAGAATCCATATAATGTTTATTGAACATCTATTTGTACATCTTGTTTTAATGATTGAATAACAACACTTGTACTTTGCATTGTAAGCATTGCTAAGCAATCATACTTGATATAACAATTCATATTTCAAGATGTTATGACAATTAATGATATAACAATGCATGAACCTCTATTATGCAACTTTCAGAAAGAAGACAGGTGTGCAATGTTTCCAAAAATGATCTGACATGCATAACAGTAAAAAATGAAAACCATGTTCAGAAGTTTTCACAAAAAGTAGTCAAGCTCATCTATCTATCTATCTATCTATCTATCTATCTATATATCTATCTATCTAGTTGGGTTTTAGAGATCTCCACCAGTATGTACTATTAAAAGTGCTTCTAACATTACATTACTGTGATTTTAGTAACGGTTTCACATAGTATCTTTAAAATAAATGCATTTACTAACCAAAGAATACTCTGGCTTTGTGTATTTTACACTTACATTTTTACTTCTGTTTATGAAGCATCTAAGAGGAGCCCTGAACTCTGCATGTAAAAGCACCCACAAAAATGGGCAATAAACATCGAACTGGTTTGAGACACTATAGCAGAGAAGAGAAAGAAGACAATAATTTATAAAGAAGTACGAGAAAAACAGATGGGTGTTGTGAAGGCATTTTAGGTCCCTCAAAGTCTATCATATACTTAAATCTTAAGTCAAATCTGATTGTGTGGGTGTTAGCTGAAAGCTGTAAAAGATTTGATAATACAAACGTTATTGCACAAAATAAATAAATGCAATTCAGTGTTTAAAAAAAACTCTATAAATCCTAAAATAGGTCTGCTGCTTATTAATGTACAAATATAGCATCCTTAAACGTCCAGTTTAGCAGTAGTAGCCTGAGTAGTTAAAGGAATAATTGTTTATAGTGAAAACACCGTAATGATGGATTTGTTTCTTACAAGCATGCTGTTTTTTGCTTCAGAAGATGTTAATTGATGGATTGGAGTTGTTTGGATTACTTGTGGATTATTGTGATGTTTTAATCACTTTCTTTACCACATTCTGACGGCACCCATTCACTGCAGAGGATCTGTTGGTGAGCAAATAATGTAATGCTAAATTTCTCCAAATCTGTTCAAATGAAGAAACAAGCTACATCTGGGATGGCCTGAGGGTGAGTACATTTTCAGCAATTTTTCATTTTTAGGTAAACTATTCATTTAACAGTCTAATATGTATTAAAAGTAATATATCAGAGTAATTGTACCATATGTAAAATAATGTATGAATAAAATGTGTGAATGAAAATGTTTGTCATGAACCAGTTGCTACTCCACTGGTTTATTGGTTGTGGTGTCAGATGCAAGCTTTAATGTCAAGGTCTGGTCTGGTCTTTGCAAATTCTTTGAGTTTCTTGACGCCATCTTTGGTAAACTTGTTGTCAAACAACCTGCGATGAACAGAAAATATATTTGTGTTACAGAATCATGAGGAAATAGACTATAGTAAATCAGCTCTTGATGTTTCTTACCACAGATACTCTAATGTAGTGTTCTCTTTCAGGGCAGCCATGAGGACTTCTGCTCCTTTGTCTGTCACTAGGTTGTCACGAAGCCTATAGGATGCAGAATGTTTCAACTCTGAACTTTTCAGATAAATAAATTATTCAAGAGATTGAAATGATGGAGATAAGTCTCTTTTACCTGATATCTGTCAGTGTGCGATTCGTCCTCAACAATTCTGCAAGGTAACCAGCTCCAACATCTCCAATTTTATTTATGGCCATTCTAATGAAAGAATGATATTGTAAACACTCACAAGTCAAGTGCAACATATGTGTATTTTTAACAGAAAATTATATTTTTTCACCTTAGATCAGTCACAGTACGATTTTCTTTCAGCGCTTCTACAAGGATCTTCAGGCCTTCACAGCCAAGTCCTGTCGCAACCACCCTAGAGTGAACATACACAGCCATAATAAATTTGAGCTTGTAGCATAACTACTTTTATTTATTTATTTATACATTTAATTATTATTTTTGTTTAATTTTATACAGTATTTGCAATGTCATTTGAATTTATTTCATATATTTTATTTACTTTATAGTTTTTTAAATGACTATTTAAATTAAATTTTTACTTTTTTCCCCCCACTTACCACAGCCTCTGAATTCGACAATCTGGGTTTCTCAGAACAAGAGCTAACACTGACGCTCCCTCTGAACCAAGAGGATTCTGGCCCAGGCTTTATGTAAAGAACATACAATAATTATCACAAAGCACAAAAAATAATATTTAACATCGAGTGTGTCACATCTGCCTCCAAACAATTATGCCTACAGTTACAGTATTTACCTTAGCGTTGAAAAAAGTGGAAGGACTGGTAGGAGCCGGCGTAGTCCTTGAGCATCGAGTCCTTGAGCATCTAAATTTAAAACCAGCAGGTCTGGACTGAGCTTTTAACAGGAAAGCCAGCTCGCTCCAGTCCCTGTTTACCGAACCGGACTGATCTAAGGCCTGCTGTGAAAGAACTTTCATCCAACTCTGTAGCCGCTGTGACAAACCAGGGTCCTGGGCCTCATATAGACAGTGGCAAGCATTGACTTGCCTCTCCGGGCTGAGGGTGGAGCTCTGGAGTTGGGAGTGTAACAGATGGAGAAGGAAAGGTGGAGTCGGGTCTGGAGAGGGCTGGCAACGGAGCAGATGCATCTTGGGTCCATCAGGGAAAAATCCATTTAGGATGAGACGTGTTCTGGGAACCAGCAGGCCGCATACAAACCTGGATAAGCGGAAATAACTGGTCAGTTATGAAATGGAGTCATAGTAAATCAAAATTTTACAACCTAAACTAGCCTTTCCTTACCATAAAAACTTGAAATTATATCGAAGATTTGCATTCAAGACACTGTATGTGAATTGCATTTTTTACGTATTTTTGAATAAAAAGACAAACAAAAAATGAGTGTCACATCATTGACCTGCTAATGAAATGCATTTAATATGACAACAGTTTTAAAAGGTACCTGCAGAAAAGATCCATGTGTCCAGACTGATGTCGTTCACCACAGCGAAGGGCTTTTTTAATGCGTCTGCAGAAGAGACGCTGCGGTCTGCTGAATTTGTTAACGGCTGATGCCATTTGCTTAAATGCATACTGGATATAGCGGCCTGTGCTTGGTTTGAGGCCTGAAAATGGATCTGATCCTGAGAGCGACTGGAGAACATAGTACAGGGCAGCCAGAAACTCCTGCACGCTGGTGTGGATAAAATGAAAGCCCTTTTCAAAGGTGAGGGACGCTCGATCCTCTTTAAGTATCTCCGAGAGGAACACCTGTGAGAGTTTGGTGCTATCCAGATTAAAAGAGTTCAAATCAGAGCTTTCAAAGATGAACCGTCTCTCCAGGAGGCCTTTGCAGGCCATAGCTCCCAGGCTTTTGAGTATAGGCTGCATTTCGCCAAGGACGCGAGGGGCATGCTGAAGCCTGGTGTGATGGGAGCCCTCGCTACGCCCTTGCACGTGGAATAGCAAGATGGATTTAACAAAGCAGCAGTAGATTTCAGAGATCGTGACTGGTTTGGAGTTCTCCTCAGAAGGTCCTAATAAAGAGTTTGGTTGGTTGGCTTCCTCAACGCCTCCTTTTTCTCCTGAATTGGCACTTGCAGTATCAGGACAAAGGCAGGAGCCGCCATCATGCAAGGCGGTGGACATGATCCAACAGAATGCAGGAATGTGGCACATGAGTAGAAGGGGTTTATGGGACGACACTGAAGCCCACACTGCCTCGGCAGCCTCAGGAGAACTGCAGTTCTGCTCAAAGTACTGCTTCTGTTGAGCTACAGAGAAACCGAGCAGACTGTAAAACTGGCTGACCAGAACTGGAGGAACTTTGGTGACCGCATGAGGTCGTGAAGTAAGGAAAATGGACACTCCTGGAAGCAGATTTCCCTTGATTAAGTTCACCACAATGGATTGTATAGGCTGCACCCGCTCATGATCTGAACACTTGGGAGTGTGTTTGAAATTAAGAGGGTAGCAGAACTCATCCAGACCATCTAAGATGAGTAAAAACTGTGTTGGGTTTGAGTTCAGTAACTCGGGCAGGAAAGGTTTCAGGTGGATGTAGTGATCCGAGAGCAGGTCCTGCAAGCTCTGCTCTTGAGTTATGAGGTTCAACTCACGAAAGGACAGAGATAGGACAGTCTTGGACGAGTTGGTTTCTGCAGCCCACTCTCGCACCAGGCGTCTCACAACCGTGGTTTTCCCACTTCCAGCAACTCCTGACAGCATATTCACACCACTCGCTGGGTTGCACAGCAGATTCTCATACACGTCCTTGAAAATGCAGATCTCATCCACTCGTGTCCTGAAAGCATCCCCAACTCCTGTTGACTCATGTCGGCATTGAGAAGACGATGCATAACCAGCTTGTCTTGAAAAAGTGATATCAGTCCAGCACCCGCTCTCATCCTGTCCTAAAGTCTGTCTTCTGATGCTGAGATAGTCCACCAGGCCATGCTGTCTAGCCAAGATGTCCTTGTGTTTTTTGAGATGCTCTTGCCTGTTGGCCTGTCCTAGTTTGGCGGTCTTATCTTGAACACTTGGTAGTATGTAGAGGAAAGCCCTGCATGATTCTTCTCCTCTCCCATTTAGCACATCCAGCAGAACTCTCATACATTCTCTCTCACCTCGAACAGCCGCACCTCTAATAAGACTGAGGTCCTCCTCGGTCACTGCCCCCACATTAAACAGCACGTCCAGAAGGCGTGTCAGGTGTTCGCTGTAATTCTCCACCAGCTCCACGCGACGCTGTTGAATCTCTGTGCTACAGGATCCAACAGCCATCACTTTAAAAGGTTCCTGATTATGGGGGAGTTTGGGGCCCCCTAATTAAGGCCTGACCTTGCCCCCAAAGGAAACAAAACGAGTAAAAAGTCAAAACTTTAAAGTATTTTTTTCTTATTACATTATTTCAGAAGCATTTTTAAACAACGATTCAAAAACCATGTCACAAGCTCACAATTTTTATTTAGGCTATTTATTTTCACAAGCTCACAAATAAGTAGCGTTTTGTCGAGCATTTTTTTTTAGATCGGTATCGGACAGTAAATCGACAACAAATACCGTCATGATTACTTAATTGAAATGTATATGAATAAAATGTATATGAATATAACTTCAATCACAAAACATTTAATGATTAAAATGTACTTAGGATGATAAACTCTGACGGGGACAACAAAAGATTGCGCGAATAGGCTACTTCAGCTCGGAAAACGAACAGAAATTCCTAAAGAGTCTACCCCATTACATTTAAGCTACTATATAATTTATGTACATCCAATGGATATATATTACCAGTTCCAAACAAGCACACTGAAAAAACAAAGCGAAATTGTTTAATAAATAATAAACGAACTTACAGGGTCACACGCATTATTCCCACACTTCCGTAGAATCTCATTGATTTAATAGCTGCTGAAAGTGAAACTACCCTGTGTGATACAGTAAGCCTATTATGAACAATTCATATCTTGACAAATCCGATGTTCTGTCGATTACTTGTAGGCTGTTACTAAATAAGACAAATATTCCTCGCTATAGTAAAACAAACTTTCCAGTAGTCTAAAATATGAAATACTCCGTATGTAGTCCTCTGAAAGTCACCTGATACACAGTATATTGTGCAATAGCTGAATACAAGAAGTCGATCATCTCCGCCCAGAGGCAGTCACTCGTGCTCTTCTCCGAATTGTCTTATTTATTGCATGTGGCTGGTTTCTGTTTACCAGAGAACACTTGAAATCACTCATACATTTATAAGCAATTAACACCTTCAGTTTAACGTACAGGCTCCATTCAAAATGCTTCAGTTTTGGTGTGAAAAAACAAAAATATAATTGCCATTGACATAATGACACCACCAGTCTCTCCTTCTCCAATTCCTACGTCTTTCTTTTCCTTTCCTGGGTCATTACCAAAACTTGACAATTTGCTGCCAAACAAATAATAATATTGCCTTTATTAAATGCAAAATTAGATTACTAGATAAAAAAAAAAAACACTGCGAACACAAATACCCACTCCCATACATGCTATGACAAATACAGCGCTGACAAGGCAATGCTTTTTTTTAATCAGCTATAATATGCTCAAATACATTGTCAGTTTGCTTCAAAATGACAGATTTCTTCAGGTATTTTACACAAATAGTATAAAACAAAATCACAAGTGTGAATTATATATCAACTTGGGGGCTAAGAGTTTGTGTGGACATTATTGGGGTATTTTGTTTTTATAAATGTCAAAAATAGATATTTGTTCTAAATACATTACATGCGGCACTTACGCATACACCAGCATTTAACGGGTTTCCTTTCAGTGTTTTCTTTTAAGCATCCTCAACTATGACACCAGCTATGATAGGCACATGCTCAATGTTTCTCTGAACATTCTCCTTTGACGGACATGACATCAAGGTGATATCAAACAATTGTGCTATCAAGAGTTTTAGGTGCCCGAAATCCTACAGTGCAAAGGGTATGCCAAATTTCCACTTTTTAGTTTCTAAAACAACATTTAGATTTGGTTTGTGAACATTTAGTAGTGCTTTACCTTTTATCTACATATACACAAACCTGCCTCAAGCCAAGTTACATATTTTTTTGTAGATAACATACAACTTACCCTACTATTATGGCTAACATCTCTCACAATCTTTGCAGTGAGCTTAGAGCAGTGCTAATATGGGAAATGGCGTTAATATGAGGGATTATTGTGTCCAGTGTATTAGGAGCACAAAGCCTGAGCGATTTCATCACTGAGAGCGTGAGGAAAGACCACTCTCAAAAATCAATCTTTTGTCCATCACTGGATTTCTTCTCATTTTTGCAGGAACTCTTATCTTATCAAAGATACTTTCTAACATTTTGAGGCACAGATTTGGAACTGAGAAAATAAATATCGACTGATCTCTGAACTCAGATTGAACCCTTAAAATGGGTAATGATTAATGAATGAATCATAATGTAAAAAACAGGGCTGGTTTTCTAGCATAGTATACTATCACTGGACATAGCGTGTGGATTCTTTCCATCAACATTAAAATTTCTTACAGTAGCTTTACATACATGAGACACACCTTCAATGCACTTGGTATATGCTCTCTAAAAGTTTGTCCTCCTTTTTTAACTTTTTCAACTAATATTAATAACTTATGAGCAAAATTATGTCGCACAAATAGTGTGTAGAACAGGTTTAACCATTGAAGTGAACAAGTCATCTTTTCTATGCAAAAAGTAATTAATACCTTTCCTATGAACGCAAAAGTGTATTGGTTCTGAGTAGGTTTGGATTGCAGAATTCATAGAAAAGTAAAAGTAATCACGGGTGAACATAAATAGAACCGAAGCTAACAACTACTCATTATGAACCCTGATTTACCTCGTTAGCATGGCTGAGGGCACCTTCTCTAACAAATCAACATTTCCCAAATAAGCTAGATAAAGACAGAGTGCAGGAAATGCACATATATGTTGTTATTTCTTGGCTTTTTGACATATAAAATCATAATATTCATATAACAGTATTAATCCCCCAAAACATAAATGAGTTTGCTGGATATTCACAACTTAAAGCAGAGGCCTTTGGTGCAGCTGGCTGGCGTCTGATTGGCAGAGAGAAGCTCCGCCTTTAGTCATGTGATTGATGAACTAAGGAGCGTATCTGGAAGATCCTGTGAGAACGCAGGAAGAGCTTGGTCATGACTCCTCCATCATCTTGAGTTGAGGCGAGGGGCAGTCTGAGGAAAAAAAAAAAAAAAAAGTTCGTTATCGTTTTTCTTCTCGCTGAAATAATCTTGATAAAAAAGTTTTTTAGTCCGCAGTGCTCACCACAGAAAGGTGTCCATTCTTAGCCTTGGCTATCAGCAACTCTGAGCCAGAAGTAAAATCTATGATCCCTTCTTTTCCTTGGGCCACATTGAACTTTATACTGTTCATAAGAGGGAAAGCAATAGTTTTTATTAATAAAAGTATAATAATTTCATAGATAGAATAAATATAATATTTCATAAACAGAAGTCTGCCTTGAAACGTCAATAGTATTTAAAAAAATGATAATTTTGTGTCTACAACTCACCTTCCCTGGTTAATGTTAATGCTGTTCATCTTTTCAGCACAGATGGCCACTTTGGTTAACGCCTCAATGACATGCTCACTCTGAAGCACCACATCACCCTGTGACACCAATACAGTTCATATATTCACTCTGAAAGCAGTCGGTTTAGCGCTTAAGGAAATTAAAAGCAAATAAGTGATCTTTAGACTTACTTTCTGCTTATTGTCTTCACAAGCAACATGGAGAACAAACATGCCGTCGCTCAGAGAGCTGACAGAAATCCCTACAGATAAAACAGAAGTGGTCAGTGAGTCACTTTTTAATTTGTTGTGATTCACTTTTTTCTATGGGTGTTGTCATACTAAAGCACACAAGACATCTCAATTTGTGAAAAAATGGCTTTTCGAATTAAGTTTGGACAAAATTCTGAATAAAGCATTTAAGTCTGCCTCGAAATCACAGTCTCTGGTTCGTTTCATGTGAATCGTATGCCTTACAATTGGTATGAAAGCAATCTGCTCTAACTGAACCGTACTGATATCGTATATTACTCACATTGACAATGCAATCATACCATAATATAGTCAAACTAAGTGTAAAAACAGTTTAGGCTGTGCCATTCTCTCTCCCTCTTCCTTCTCACCTTTCAGTGAGCTGTAGTCGATACGCTGTTTGAGCTTGGCCTCCTCCACAATGATGGCACTGTTCGCCATGAGCAGGAGCTGTCGGTTGCGTGCTTTGTATCCTTTTCTATCATACTTAGTCACTGGAACAGCATACTGTGGGGAAGGATGGATTATATTAGCACAATCACTTTTCTTCTTCACATACCGCCTATTATCATAGATGCTTCTTCACACATTGTCATGTATAGTACTGTATGTTGTCCGAGCAAACACTGAGAAATAAGGTAATATGTAGGAGATCACATATTCAGTCATGTAAAATTACACATTTCTGGCTTTTTTGGAGAGACCGATGAGAGGATGTAGTTGTGAACCACAGTCTGAACCACATTAAAGAGAGATTTCCCAAACAAACAGCCCAGAATTCAACCAACCTTCATCTTCTCATTCCCCAGAGTCTGTTGCACTTTAGGGTTGATGTCCTCGCCATCTTTTGACACACGCAGACAAAAAAATTAGAATATACAACGCAGGAAATGTGTCTTCAAAGTGAGATGAAAGCTGAAAACTCACTAAGTCTTGAGCCCACAAAAAGTTTTGGGACGCTTTGTGGGTAGTTGTCCTTCTTGTCCTTAAAGATTTCACTTGCGACCATCTTCTGCTCCAACTGCAATAATAGATAATAAAGCTGTTTTTTCAGTAACTCAATCAAAATAAACTAATAAATAATCAAATATTTAAAAAAATACAAAATTTTACTATAATTAATAATAAGTTATAAATTAAAATAGATTATAATTAAAAATAAAATAAATAAAATATTTAACCATGTAAAATGTAACAACAGGTACTTTCATTCTAGGTTAATTTACAATAGCCCTACAATCAAATAAATAAATAATACAATATAAAATACAAATGACAAACTAAAAATAGAAATAAATTAATAAATTAAAATAAAATACAAAGTTTAAATACATTTAATTAAAAATTAAAAAATTTAAATAAAGTTAAAAAAAGTTATAAAACAAAACAAAACACCTGGTGCTTCCATTCCAGGTTGATATTCTTGCAGTACTTCCACACCATATTCTGCATGCAAAGTTTGCGGAGCTGCTCTGAAGCCTGTGAACAAAAGGAAGGCATAATCTCTCATCTCACATCTAGAGGAGTCGATGATTGTTTTGATGACTGATTCATGACAGATATATCTCACCACAACGAGGGCAGGAGGTGGTGTTGGCCAGCTCTTATCCAAAACAGTTTTAGGCAGGCTCCTGTGCAACTTCATTAGGAACGAGTAGCGAACGTAGTCCAGGAAGTATTCATTCTCTGGACAACGTGGCTGGTGGCGGTAGATGAAGCCTTTGATGAACCTGTAACAGTGATCACAGACGGCAAAAACAAAAGTGGCCATAGGCTCTCTCACTGACCAGAATCACATCACTGACTATTGTACTAGTCATGTCATGCACACAGACCTGCGGATGGTGTTGGCAGCCTCTCTCCTACGCTTTGCTTCCCTGCAGGCCAGAATACCTCTCCACCAGGCTTGGATCTTGATTGCTGATTGACGCATTTTACGGTATTTGGTTTTTTGACTGTAGCCTTTCCAGGATGACTGCAGTTTGGTAGCTGTGCATGAAGAACAGTTTGTTGAGGTTAAGTTTGGGTAGAGCATCCAGTGAAGAGTTACATGATATGTCTTTGAATATGGCTCATACCAAGGCTGTGTTTTCTGACTTCTAGTGCATCTTCGGTTGCGAACAAGGTTTTGGGGAAGCGGATGAAGATTTTGGTCCTTTAAAAGAAAAAAAAGGCCTTTTTTGGAACCACAGAAAGAATACTGAATTTTTGAATACTACTATAATAAAAGTTTTAGCATTTTTTAAACGCTTATTTGTGTAACCAACCTGCCGAGTTTGTACTCCTCAGGTTTGTAGCCGAGGTGCTTGACGAGTGTGGAAACTCCATCGACCAGACGGCCATCCCAGTTCGGCCAGGTGTCTGGACACAGGGATTTATACCTAAAACAGGAAATCACAAGCATTACCCACAAAACTCAACTACATTTTAAGCAGAAAGAGCAATCACTGTTTTCAACACACTGCTTGTTCCCTTTGACCTTAATTATCACTGAAGTCCACAGGAAGTGCTGAGCTTTTAAAAGAGGATTAGAAAGTGTGAAGAGTTTACAAATAAAATTTTTTTGACAGAGCCTTGCTGAAAAATAGACTAAATCAGCTAAATTGGTTCAGGCTAGCAAAAACTAGAAGTTAAAAGAGTATTTGTGGGTTACCATTATGAGGCATGTTTGGAAATTATAACTTGAAATTATAAGCAGGTTGTGCCATTAAAAGATCAGCATTAAAGGGGTCATATGATGCGATTTCAATTTTTCCTTTCTCTTTGGAGTGTTACAAGCTCTTGGTGCATAAAGAAGATCTGTAAAGTTACAGACTAAAGTCTCAAATCCAAAGAGATATTCTTTATAAAAGTTAAGAGTCAACCACACCTACCTAAAACGGCTCGTTCTAACACACCCCCACGTCTACGTCTCAATGTGGAAAGATTTGCATAACGCCGCCCAAATGTTCATGCAAAGAAAGAAGGCGTAACTTTTATTCTCGCTGTAGTATTGTTGTTGTCGCCGCCGCCATGTCGTGAAGGCGCTGTGTGTTGTTGTGAAAGCGAAACTACTTTGTTTG